AAGAAAATTACAGGACATTGAAAAAAGAAATAGAGGAAGATATTAAAAAGTGGAAGCATATATTTTGTTCATGGATGGTAAGAATTAACATCATTAAAATGTCCATACTAAACAAAGCAATCTATAGATTCAATGCAATCTTCATTAAAATACCAATGACGTATTTCACAGAGCTAGAACAAATACTCCAAAAGTATATATGGAACCAAAAAGACCCCGAATAGCCACAGCAATCTTGAAAAAGTAGAACAAAGTAGGTGGGATCACAACACCAGATATCAGGTTATACTACAAAGCCATGTAATCAAAACAGCCTAATACTGGCACAAGAACAGGTATATAGATCAATGAAACAGAACAGAGAACCCAGAAATCGACCCAAGACATTATGCACAATTAATATTCAACAAAGGAGGCAAGAGCATACAATGGGGAAAAGACAGTCTCTTTAATAAATGGTGTTGGGAAAATTGCACAGCTACATGCAAAAAAATGAAACTAGACCACCAACTTACACCCTACACAAGAATAAACTCAAAATGGCTACAAGACTTATATGTAACTCATGAAACCATAAAAATCCTAGAAGAAAATGCAGGCAGCAAAATCTCAGATATCACACCCAGTAGAATTTTCACTGATACAACGCCTATGGCAAGAGAAACAAAGGAAAAATGAACACATGGGACTACATCAAACTAAAAAGCATCTGCACAGAAAAAGAAACAACCATCAGAATGGAAAGGGAATTCACTGTATGGGAGAACATAACTGCCAATGATACATCAGATAAGGGGTTAATTTCCAAAATATAGAGAGTGCTCATACAACTCAATAAAAGGAAGATAAAGAATCCAATTAAAAAATGAGCAGAGGACCTAAATAGACACCTCTCCAATAGGACATTCAAAGGGCCAGGAGATAGATGAAAAAATGCTCAACATCACTAATCATCAGAGAGATGTAAATTACTACAACTATGAGGTATCACCTCACACCTGTCAGAATGGCCGCCATCAACAAATCATCAACAACAAGAGCTGGCGAGGGTGTGGAGAAAAGGGGACTCTAGTGCACTGCTGGTGGGAATGCAGACTGGTGCAGCCTCTATGGAAAACACTATGGTGCTTCTTCAAAAAATTAAAAATGGAACTACCATTTCACCCAGTGATCCCACTTCTAGGAATATATCCTAAGAATCCTGAAACACCAATCAGAAAGAATATATGTACCCTTATGTTCATAGCAGCACTATTCACAATCGCTAAGATCTGGAAACAGCCCAAGTGTCAATCAGTAGATGATCGGATAAAAAGGCTGTGGTACATGTACACAATGGAGTACTATGCAGCTGTAAGAAAGAGAGATCTCTTATCCTTTGAGACAAGCTGGGGGGAACTGGACAGTATTATGCTAAGTGAAATAAGCCAATCAGAGAAAGACAAATATCACATGATCTCACTTATTTGTGGAATATAATGAACAAAATAAGCTGATGAATAAAATAGACCCAAAGACACAGAAGTAGGGACCAGACTGACAAACCTCGGGGTGGGGGGAGGGGGCGGAAGAGGTAACCCAAGGAACTTATATGCATGTACACATAACCAACAGACATAGACAACAATACTGTGAAAGTGGAGGGGTGGGAGCAGGGAGGAGGGTGTCAATGAGGGAAAAGGAGAAACATCTGTAACAAAAATAAATACATTTTTTTAAAAAGGGTGGCTCTTACTCAGAGAAGTCACTGGGTGGCTTGGAGCAGAGAAGATGCTTTGATCCATATTTTCAAATAGCACTCTGGATGCTGCTTGGGGAACAGACCACAGGGGTGCACTGACGGAAGCCCAGAGACCAGGTAGAAGCCACTGCAGCAATGCAGATGAGGGGGTGGGGGCGGGGACGAGGGGCAGCAGCGGAGGTGGTGGGCAGTGGGCAGTTTCTGGGTATAATTTGAAAGGAGAGCCAACAGTCTCTCTGGATGCGCCCCCTGAGAGAGGAGTCAAGGGTGGCCACAAGGATGGGGTGCCATCACCTCAGGGAGCGAAGGCTGCAGGTGGGTGGACTAGGAGTGGGGGAGGGGCAGTCAGAAGTTAAGTTTGGAGTGGCTCATCACGTAATGTCACGTCGGCAGTGGAGTGTACCAGACGTGAGCAAGAGCGAGTTCTCGGCCAGAGATAAACGGGGCGTCATGAACACGATGGACCTTTAAAACCCCGAGGCTGATGAGACCGAGCACCAGAGTCCAGAGCAGAGCCAGGGACAGAAGGAGGACCGAGGCGGGGCCCCGGGCGCTTCAGCACCAGAAGTCCAAGCGAAGAAACGAGAAGCAAGGAGATGGGAGAGTGACCAGCGAGAGGAACCCAGAGCGTCGAGGGTCCAGTGACGAGAGCTGGGCCCGGGGCAGAGGGACCAGCCATGCGGTCTGGCAGGATGAGGACTGAGAACTGAGGACCCAGCAACACGGGTCGTCAGTGACCTTGATAGGAACCACCTGATTGAGTGGGAGGCCACCAAAGTCTCACTAGATGGGATTTCAGAAAGAACAGGAGGAATTTCAAACAAATACATAAAACTCCCCTGCGGGGCTGAAGTGCAAAGGGGACCGAAATGGGACAGTCAAGGGAAAGGGGGTGTCAAGGGAAGGTTGTCGGTCTTTCAGGTGGGAAATGATGGCGTGCTTGTGAGCTGGGGGGTGACCCGGCCGGAGGGCGCGATGGACGGCGAGGGTGAGCATGAGGCGCGGGCAGGAGTCTGGTCCTGGAGGAGGTAGGAGGGGCTGGAAATCAAATCCCAAAGTGGAGGGGCTGGTGGACAGCTGAATACAGGGCTCAGACACTGGGGGGCAGGCGAGAGTGGGGGTGGGAGCCGAAGGAAATGCTCGGAGAGGCAGCCTGCGCCGCATCCTCCAGGTGACAGCCTGGGCACAGGACTGGGGGTGACCAACCGGCCTTCCACAGCAAGCTGAGGTCCTGGGCCGGTGGGTCCCTGGGAGCTTTACTCTCGTCCTACACGAGGGCTGAGTGAGTGCTGGTCCCTTCAAGTTCTATAGCCACAAAACAATTTTCCCTAGAGAAAAAGAATTCTCCCTTGTACGAAGAAGTAGAGTGTGGGAATGTGCTTTGCAGAAAATCCTTGAAGACACAGAGCACATGCCTGTGCTCATGGCTGAGGCTGAGAAGGCCAGAGCCTGAGCCCCTGGCACGGAGGCAGCCGGCTGGACTGGCCTCGGCCACACCTCAGCCCGCGAGCCCGGTGGCCGCAGACACACACGGCAGACACGGTGGACATCTAAGCACAGACCCAGCCCTAGTGCCGAACCGACGCCTTTGCCTTCAAACACCACCGCTATCTTTGGGATCAGAGGCAGCCCGTCCGACGGGACGGAGGGACGTGGCCTTCCAAAAACGCACTCAGTCCCCGATTTTCCCACCGGAAAGGGGGGCTCTTCTGAACATGACCCAGCACGTTCCAAGCAGCCAGGATAAGGAAACACATCTGCACAGAAGCAGCTCTACCTAGACACACACAAAATGCTGTTAGGAATAGGACCTCATTCCGCAATTTACGTGGCCATGACCACATCGCAGCCAATCTCTCTTCCTGAGTTCAGGTCAGAGCTCAGCCCGACGTACAGGGAACGCAGCCACGTGAGGCCTTTGCGTTGAGTTCTGGTCAAGTCCAGTGACGTCAACAAGAAGAACCATCCATTCCCATGACTAGCAGCGAGATGACCTTGCACATAACCCGACGGGCTGGTGTGCAAGGATCCTGGCAAAGCAGTGCCTCGTTTCCACACCACCCTGCAGGACAGGCTCATACAAGCCTCCGGGGAGAACACTGAAGGTTGAACTCCACACCACAAAACTCAGTTGTTTCTTGGCCACATGAGAAATTAGAAGAAGAGGATCTTCAGTCAGGCTTGGGAAATAGACACAGGAAGACCACCCCCATGACCAGGACTCAGTCCAGCGATCAGTGTCCGAGGAGGTCCTTGAAAGCATCTTAACTTAAATCCACCCGGATTCCCAGAAGAGCTCCCAGAATACTTCCCAGACCACGCCTTGTGCCCAGCGGCCCTCCAGTTCGAACTCGGGACCTGATGTGCAGACCGAGTGCATCGGAGCAGGCAGGATGTCGCAGGGGGTTGGGGGATGCTCTGGGGGCGGTCAGCAGCGTGGCCAGGAAGCCTGTACTCGGGCCAGGCTTTGCAGTGATGTCTGAGCAAATGTACAAAAGCTGACGTGTCCGAGCTGGCCACTTCTCGGGGACTGAGCTGCTGCCCCTGCAGGCTACCTTCTGGGTGAGCTGAGTGCAATGCTGCCAACAGGGGCTCGGGATCTACCGGGATCCACCCAGATCCACCGCAGGAAAGAAGGCAGCTGGGGGCGCGCGTGTTCACCCCGTCTTAGCAGTAAAGAGCATGAGGATTGGGAGTTAGGAGGAGGGGACTCCTGTCACGGACAGAAGGATGCCAGCAGCAAGGACACTCTCTGAGCCCCCTCACCACCGTTCTCTCCCAGGGGGGAGTGGACTGCATCGCAGGCGCCGACGGGATTCTGGGAGCCCCCAGTTTTCCTCCCTGCTCCCATGTTTGTTGGCTCTGAGCCTGGGGACACGTTCCTATACCTCCCTACGCTGCTGTTTCTTCCTGTGCAAATGGGCCTGACAGCACCCCCACTTCACATGGCTGCTGGCCCCTGAAATGGAGTACGCAGGTGTGCACTGAACACCCGGTGCAATGGTGTCGGTACTCAAGAGGGGGCTCTGTTCCTGCTCGGGCACCCACTCGGCATTAATCAGCGGTTTCATTCGCGCGTGCGTCCAGTTCGGATCTGGAATGTCACCGGTGTCACCCCCCTGGCCTCTCCCCTGCCCCTCCTCCTCTCCCTCCCTGCCTCACTCCCTCCCTACCCCCGACGATTCTCAGCAATGAAGGTCTTTCCAAAACCATCGCCGTGGGCGGTCTGACGCGTGTCCAGATGTGCCCCGGGCTCCCCTCACTCAGCTGGACACTCCTCCCCCAGGGAACTTTCCAGAGCCTGCCAGTAGGTCAGCATCTTCTGAGGCTGGATGAAATGGCAGGCCACGATCTTCTTGAAGCGGCAGGTGGAGAAGCTGAGGCCGCCCGGGAAGAAGGTCTGCTCGGAGTGCAGCTCCTCCAGGCCGATGTTCAGCTTGGCGAGGCACAGCCCCACGAACACGTCCTCCAGTTTGATGAAGGGGACGCTGTCCGACACGTTGTACACCCGACTCGCCACGTCGCCGGAGAACACGTAGGCCGTGCCCGAGCAAAAGGGCGGGTACTTGTCCCACGGGTATTCGTGCCGGCTGACGAACCACTTGTTGTACTTCTCCCGGATGGGGAGCTCGTGCATCTTCAGGAAGCCGGTGACGAACCTGCTGGTCCTGTTCTTCTTCAGCAGCAGCTCGGTCAGGTAGCGGACGTTCACGAACATGTCGGAGTCCGTCTTCATCACGAAGGCCGCCTGAGGGCAGAAGAGGTGGACCCACTCGATCCCCATCATGGTCTTCAGAGTCAGGTTCAAATACACGTCCACGAAGTCCTTCTGGATGACGTCACGGTGCTGCCGGCTCTCCTGGGCCACCGCCCGGGACGCGTCCTTCCTGGGGGTGGTTCCGAGCAGGAAGAATGTCTTTATCCGTCTCCCGCTCACCACCTTTTCTTTCCCCCACGTCTTCCGGATGGCCTCGCGCGCGAACAGCTGCTCGTGGGAGGATGTCACCAGCAGGACGAGGAAGGGGGGGTCTTGCCGGCAGTCTATATCTGGGAGCTGCAGGAACTGCCCGTGCTCCTTCTTGAAAACAAAAGCATCTTCTTTAAAGAGGGACAGGTTGTGCATGCTGAGATACAGACAGAGGGCTCCCAGGACCACGAGGGACATGTACAGCCACCTCATCTTCACACAGGCCATCTGAAAGGAGCAAAATCAAGTGGTCAGACCTCGGAAGCGGGAGGGCGTGTGAGCTGTCCCCCGGGCGGCGGGGACGGGCGAGGAGACCCACGATTCGTGGCTGGTGCTTCGGAAACTCTGGGATCTCACTGCACACAGAACGGGAGCCGTGGTTTCACAGGGACGCAGAGGGGACCGCCTGGGGGGTTCACGCCACACCACACAGTGAGGACCACAGGGAATGACAATGGTCCTGCTCCGAGGCCGGCCGGCCCTTCACTGTGGAGTCTCGGGTTTCGTATGTAGAAGGACATGTGACCACATCGCCCACCAGCGCCCACCAGCTCTGCCTTCTCCGACTGCACAGTGAAGTCCCGCTGCAGGGCCATTTGCATTCTTCTCTGATGGAATCAAGCACCTGTATCACTCCCAGAAAGAAAAGACCCCTTTCCCCATTTGCACAACTACCTTGAGCCCGGCTGGTGTGGCTCAGTGGTTGAGCATCGACCCATGCACCAAGAGGTCACCGGTTCGATTCCTGGTCAGGGCACATGCCCCGGTTGTGGGCCAAATCCCCATTGGGGGCATGCAAGAGGCGGCCAATCGATGTTCCCTCTCATCGATGTTTCCATCTCTCTCTCCCTCTCCCTTCCTTTCTCTCTAAAATCAATAAAGGGAAAAGAAAAAAAAGAAATTCCACCCCTGCTAGTGGTAGTGGTGATGTCGTTGTTTAGGTTACTTTTTAAAGTCACCTGTCTGATTCTATCATCTTCTGCCCCTCCACCTCTGTGAGTTCTCAACAAATCAGGATGACCCCTGTTAACGTCAGAACATTAAGAAAGCAAACAACTCACGTTTTCCCGGTGAGATGAACCTCTGGTTAAAAAGCCCAGCCACAGGGTAGATTCCAAGAGGAACTTCGTTCCAAATTGTTGTTAGCATCAGCCGTGCGGCACTCTCAGGCTCTGGCTCGGTTAGTCTACAGAAAACGACGATCCTGGCTCAGGAGTCACTACAAGGGAAAAACAAAATGAAGAGCGTCATTCAGACCTCTCGGGCCTCACTGGCAGCTCCACCTCCTGCAGTGCCCCCTGTTTACCACAGTGACGCCCTCGCCCTACCACCTGCCTGTGTAACCTTGGGGAACCTTAGAGCCCGACCCTCGCTGTTCTCATCTGTAAAATGAGTACGATGGAGACAAATTCCACCACGTGGTGCACCTGTCGACGACAATAACATCGTGCAGGTATCCGAGCACCCTACCTGGACTAAGGATCAGGGCAGCACCCAGGGCTCTGTAGAGACATCCGTCAGTTACAGTCCAATTTCTCATGTCGATATCGACCTTCTCTAGAGTGTAGCTGACTCTTAAAGAACTTAGCACAGGGAAGAAAACCCTCAACTCTCAAGTCGGTGTCCATGTCTTCCAAATGTCATCCTAGGCAAGAGGACAGAGGGGCCAGCAGGAAAAGAAACTGACCAGGTGAAAGAAAAGGGTTGGTTATTTTGATGGCAAAGAGAACCCTGTAATTTCATTCAGTCGAAATTGTGTTCCAAACATATTCAAGTATATTCAGGAAAGAAATGGAACGGTGACGGAGCTTCCCAGGAGTAGCTAACTCTCTGGAGACCACCGCGGTCCGGGTCCTGCTCTTCTCGGGGCCCCAGCCCAGAAGCATCCTTGGAGCTGGACCCCCACCGCCTCCGGAGAAATCGCTCCCGGGGGTGACGACGAGTCGGAGCTGGGGCTGGCCGGGTGCTGAGAATTCTGCTTCCTTCTTTCTTCCTTTGTGAGATTATGTATGTGCAGGCCTGGAATGTGCAGTTTATTTTGCCAGGGGAAGGGGTGCACTTCCCCCCACAATATGTTTGAGAGAGAAACATAAAAACCCAACGCGAGAGAAAGGTATTTCTCTATTTTGTTTCCTGTCTCGGACCAACTTGCTTGTCTTCAGTGGGCTGCCTCAATAGAAACCTTAGGTGCCTTTTCTAAGGACCTGTGCAAGGGTCTCCGTCCAGGGATGGACGCTCGGCTCGCTGCCGGCACTGGCCTCTCGCTGGACCTCAAATAGCGGCCCGGAGGCAGAGCAAGTGGCAGGGGTCCCCCAGGCCAGAGCTCCCTGGCATTTCTGTTTGCTTTTCACGTGCAACCAGAACATCTTCCTGCCAACAGTGGGGTGACTGAGAGACGAACCCATTCACAAAGCATTGGCCTCTTTGATTGAGTCTATTTCGTGTGCTTTACGGACCCAACCCAACCTTCCACTGGAGGTGGACTCAGGGGCTCATCCAGAACCCACAGGGGAGAGCCCGAGCGGAACGTTTCTAGGAGGGGAAGTGTATACCCCGGGGACCTGGCCCCCGCAGGCCAGCTGGGAGGCAGGAAGCAGCGTGGCCTGGGCAGAGCCATGAACAGGCTCTCTGCTACGGGAGCCCCACCTTCCAAGCACGCCCGGACCAGCCTGTGCGGCCTGGCCAGCCGGTCGGTAACGGAACAGCGGTTCCCTTAGCAAATGCTGCATTCCAGACTCTGCTCTCTTATCCTGCGCGCATGACAGACAGACACAGACACAGAGCCTCGGAACTGGAGTAGACACGCACTGCGCATGAATTATAGATCAAGGCAGAAGGTGGCAGGCCCTTTCTTCCCTTCTCCTCCGCCTCCCACCTTCCACAGGCTCCTCTGTGGGCATCAGAGTGGCCAGCTTCGGCTGGGGTCGCTGTGCCCCTTCTGGGCTGGAGTGCCCGGAGGGCCATGGGTATGCCTCCCCTTATATCCCAGAGGCTGTGCCCTGGTTAGACACTGGGCACATCTGAATTATAGTGAAACAAACAATAGCACAAAGCGAGAGCCTCCAAGGGAACCTGAAAATCAGAACCTGACCGCCTCCGTGTCATGTGGACCGCCTCCCAGGCCAGTGTGGGCAGGACCTTCGTCTTAGGTCACAGGCCCCAGAGACGAAGGAAAGGGTTCAGAGTCCACATGCCCAACAGGTAGAAAGCTACAGACGTGGTCTGAAAAGCTAAGTTCCCGGGCTGGTGCGGAGGACCTGCTGGATTGAAGGGGAAGATCCGATGGTCAAGCCCAAGCCTGCGGCCAGGAGCACCAGGCCCTGGTAGCTCATGGTGCGTGCTCACATCCAGGCCACCCAGACCTATTCTGTGCCGGAGCAGGAGCCAGCCATGGAGGACTCCTCCGGGGAGCAGTGTGTGACGGAGCTCAGAGCAGCCGGCTAGACGCCGCAGACGCAGCAGCCCACGAAGACACAGGCACTGTGAGCGAACAGTGTCTGAGAACTAGCCAGGGGTCCCCGTTGGTCTTTTCAGTCACAGATGGAGGCAGTTGGGAAGAAATGTACCCATTTGGAAGGCAGATTCTCAGAGTCAAGGACTGTGATGAGCTTCCAGTGATTGTAATTGGCAACAGAGCAGCTGTGTGTCATCAAAGACAGATGACACAGGAGGGACGGCAGGTAGCACGCCCCTGAAGGTCATGACTCCCGCTGGTGTCAGGAGAGGCCAGGGTGGACACAGATCACGCCTGCATCAACGGGTCCGGTTATAAGGAAATGTCAAGAGCAAGAACGTCCGCTTCACCAGACCCAACATGGAAAGAAAAAGCTAAGGCTGCCATTGTGTCCTTTTCTGAGACGCCCTTAAGTTTCAGCTGCCGGCTGCCAGGAAAAGCCTCCTCTCCTCTCCATACCCTCTGCCGCACGCGGGCACCTCTCTAGCCAGAGGCAAATGGTCACCGTGGCAGCCTTGACGAAGAAGCGGGCTGACCTTTCTCCCTGAAGCTCACCCCACGGCCATCTCAAGACAGATGTAAAGGAAGCACTAGGCAGCTTCAAAGATATCTGATCACTTTGACACATTTACCTGTATTTACACATCCCTTTTTTTTTCTTTATTGATTTTGAGAGAGAGAGGAATAGAGATAAAAACATCGATGGGCCGCCTCCTACATGCCCCCCACTGGGGATCGGGCCCACAACCTGGGCATGCGCCCTGACCGGGAATCGAACCAGCGACCCCTTGGTGCATGGGCTGATGCTCAACTACTCAGCCACACGGGCCAGGTAACACACATTCCTTTTTAAGGGCTGGCAATTTAATAGGGATGAAACAGGTTTGGAACCTAAGCTGTTTGCTGAAGTCATAGGTTTTGAAATAACTTTGAACCTCTGGAGTCACGTTGCCTACTGTGACTCTAGTCTCAGAAACAAGCTGCCTTTTGGGGTGAAGTTTCGTCTGCCTTGACCACTACTTTTTCCTCTGAAATGTCTGCTGCCACATTCCAGCAAGATGCCCTGACTGAACCCTCAGCAGTGAGACACGCAGGCCTTTACCACCTGTCTTCAGGGCCCAACACCAACATGCTTGCTGTAGTTATACATTAAAAATTGCCTTTAAAGCCTTTATTTTTACTCCTACTCTTAAAGGTGGTAATATCCCATGTGGCCAAATATCTGGACTCATTCTGGACTTAGGCTTCTCAATGTCCTTGGTTTTCTAATTGAACTCTTTTCACAACCATGTTGAAAGTAAAAGTAAAGAATTTATGTGTGCCTTCCATTTGAAGTCTTTCTAGATAAGGCATTAAAAAAAAACTAAAACTGCCTGGCTGGTGTGGCTCAGTGGATTGAGCACTGTCCCATGGACTGAGGTCCTGGTTCGATTCCCGGTCAGGGCACGTGCCCTCATTAGAGGCTCGATATCCAGTAGGAGGCGTGCAGGAGGCAGCTGCTCAATGTTTCTCTCTCACATGGATGTTTCTCTCTCTCTCTCTCTCCCTTCCTCTCTCTCTAAAAAAAATCAATAAAAACTTGTTTTTTAAAAAACCAAAACTGTTTCTATTTGTAATGTAAACTGTGGAATTGATCTTTCCAGGGTGAGGGATGATTAATGTTTCTGCTCTGTACTTTTATACATTATTTTCTTATCAAACTGTGTTTTCACAGCATATCTTGTGTCTATGTAAAGCTGAGTATATAATTCTCACTGCTCACTTTTAACTGACAAAAAAAGTAGAAGCTACAGAAACTGTAGTAGAATTTTATTGCCATTCTGGTCCTGGTATACCCACCCTTGGCCAGTCCCACGGCTACTCGAGAAAGCTTCCCAGTAGAGGACAGCAGGATGAGGACCTGAAATCACTTTCAACACCCCTCCTAGATACTGACTGTTCCACCAGGTAGTACGTGCAGAACCTCGGATTGACAGTTAGTGTAAATGTGGGGGGCTTCTGTTTTCTTTTTAATTCTGTGGATGGTGTTGACATAATTCCAAAGTATGTTCCCGATCTGGAGATACTAAGTGCACTGCACAGCCGTCACTTTATCGAACGTGTGTTAATGGTCCATGAGGTTTATGACGCGCACCCTTATTGAGCTTCAGGTGCTAGAATTAAAATTGAACTGCCCTGGCTGGTTTTGCTCAGCAGTTAGAGCATCAGCCTGCGGTCTAGAGACCCGGGTTCGGTTCCCACTAAGGGCACGTACCTCGGTTGCAGTTTGTCCCCGGCCCTGGTTGGTCGTGCGGGTGGCAGCCACTTGATGTGTCCCTTTCACGTCGATGTTTCTCTCTCTCTCCCTCCCACTCTATCTGAACAAAAAATGGAAAAATGTCCTCGGGTGAGGATTAAATAAATAAATAAATAAATAAATAAAATTGATCTGCTATGGCAAGAAAATAAATAAATAAATAAGAATGGAACTTCCAAAGATACCATCAAGAGAATTCAAAACCCCACAGACTAGGAGACTATGCTTGTCATACCTAAATCTGACAAAGGACTATTATCTAGAATAAATCAAGAACTTCTATGAATCAACAAGGAAAAGACAAAAGAAATTTTTTTCTTAATGAATTGTAAACAGGTCACAAAGGAAGATACCGAAATGACCAAAAACCCAAGAAGTGAGATGCTTAGCAATGAGGAAATGCAAATCGAAGCACAATGA